CACTGCCAACTCCCTAACCGAGCCTAGGGAGCCTGCGTCTTGTGCTACCTCACATGTTGCCTATTATGTTGCTCGTGTTCGTCGTGCTCGCCGTGTTCGCCCTAATCCTATTCCCAGTACGCACACGAGGGCACTTCGTCCTTCGTCTATTTCACAGCCTGTTGTCCTGTCGTTACCTATCCCGTCTTCTCTTCCTGACGTTCCTCACCCTATGTCTAACCTTGCTCGTGCTGCTAGCTTGACTGACACTCGTTGTCTTGCCACGCTTGTGACTGGCCCTACTTTTTCGAGTGCTGCTGCTTCTGCCTTGGTCGCTAAGCTTGCTGACTTTGCTGCTACTTGCCACCTTGACTACCTTGCGAGTCTGGTTTCTGACCCTGCCTAGCCTATGTCCGTTGGGGGCGAGCTTGCCCTTGGCTGTGACGTCCTTGACGATAGGCAGTTCGAGCTGGATTACCTTGCGGCTGCTTCACCCCATCTCTCTGCCATGCTACTTACCCCAAACCCAATCCCTCGCTCTTATAGAGAGGCGATTACGAGTCCTTACTACTCTCAGTGGCAGACAGCTATGGACGCAGAGATGGCTTCCTGGAAGTCCACTGGCAGCTACGTCGACGCTGTCCCACCACCTGGGGCGAACGTCGGCAGTGGCATGTGGATCTACCGAGTGAAGCGTCCGCCGGATTCACAGCCTGCCTTCAAGGCGCGTTATGTTGCACGTGGTTTCAGTCAGTGTGAGGGGGTCGACTTTTTCCAGACCTTCTCCCCCACCTTGAAGATGACCATTCTTCGGGTGTTACTACACGTTGCAGCACAGCATGACTGCGAGTTGCACTCGCTTGACTTATCGACAGCTTTCTTGCAGGGCAGTTATCACGAGGAGATCTGGCTACGCCGCCTACCTGGCTTCACTGAGTCGTTTCCTGAGGGTACCCAGTGGAGTCTCCGGCGGCCTGTCTACGATCTCCATCAGGCACCCCGCGAGTGGCATGACACACTGAGGACGACACTTGCGGCTCTTGGTTTCCCTCATTCGACTGCTGATTCGTCCCTGTTTTTGCGCACAGACTCTGCCTTACCGCAGTTTCACATCCGAGTGTACGTAGACGACCTGGTCTTTGCGACTGCTGACAATGAGGCACTGGACTTCGTGAAGGCCGAGCTGCCGAAGAGACACATCTGCACTGACCTGGGTGAAGTGCGGAGCTATCTTGGCTTGCAGATCACCCAGAACAAAGGAGCGCGCACCATCACTTTGACTCAATCCAACATGGTGCAACAGGTCCTTCTGCGCTTCGGCTTTCAATTCTCCACGGCACAGCCCACTCCTCTGCCTACGGGCCACACGCTCTCAGCTCCACCTTCGGACGAGTCCGTAGAGCCTATTTGTCAGTATCCTGAGCTTGTGGGTTGCCTCATGTACCTGATGACGTGCACTCGGCCTGGCCTCTCAGCATCCTGGCGCGCTATGTTTCGCCCGGGAGATATCGCCCTGGGCACTGGTCGGCTGCTAGGAAGGTGTTGCGTTACTTGGCCAGTACATCAGGCTTGGGGCTTGTGCTTGGGGGATGGGGTTCAGTTGTGCCCATAGGGCACTCAGACGCTTCGTAGGCCGACGACTTGGCGACTTCCCAATCTTCGCAGGGCTACACTTTCAGCCTCGGCCTTGGCTCTGTCTCGTGGAGTTCCACTCGCTCTTCTCATGTGCTCAGCTCCAGCTCTGAGGCCGAGATCTACGCTGGGGCTATGGCTGCGCAGGATTTACGCTGGTTGACTTACTTGCTCACTGACTTGGGAGAGCAGCCTCATTCTGCACCAGTTCTATACGCTGACAACAAGACCATGATTGCCTTGTGTCAGGAGCAAAGACTCGAGAGCAGAATGAAGCACATTGCTTTTCGTTACTTTCTCGTGCCAGAGTTGCAGCAGTGTGGTCAGCTTCGCTTTTCCTACGTGGCCTCCCAGACCAACACTCCTGATATCTTCACCAAGGCCCTTGGGTCTGGTGATCATCTGCGTTTTTGTACTACTCTTGGCATGGTACCTACTCTGCCTCACTTGCTCTAATCTTATTCTAGTCTTGCTATACTGTGCTATATATATGTATACCTGCATGTCTACACCTGTTAGGTTCTGATCATTGTACAGCTTTTGTTGTTATAACACTTCCTGTGAACTGGCCTTGTGGCTGCTTGCTTGTGCTCAGACTGTGTGGTGTTCTTGAGATCCACCCTGAGCTTTGCTTTGCTTCTTCTTTTGACTGCTCTTGTGACTGTTTGTTTCCCCACTTAGCTTACAGTGGGCCACGTGGGGTACAACACTTTAAAACCGGAGTCCCAAACAGTCCGAAACTGCCTCAACCTTCCTAACTTCGGTTGGGTGTGACCCAGTTAATACCGAGCTCTCCTCGCAAATTGTTGGGACGATTTTCGCCAAGCGAAATTACTGTTCAAGCGAGGACGATAGCGGTGACAACTTCGCAAACACATTTGCAGCCCGTCCGAAAAAGTCAGCGACGAGTTCTGACGTAGCATTCCAGATCTGGTTACACTCGCGACTTTTTCATACTTAGCGACCCTCTACCACTGATTTCGACACCACCCTGGCTCGCGAGCCAGTCACCTTTCTCTCCCTTTTCAACCTTCCTAACTTAGAAACTCTTGGACCTCCGGTTTTAAGGTTTCTTGTATCCCAACCTTGCTTTGGTAGTCAATCACCATTTTGCTGTTCTTACATTCTATCACTTTACGCATGTTATGTCGTGGACGGATTAGGCTCTTATTATGCCTGTTGCGAAGGCTGGTTCACCATTGAGCGCATTTTAAAGCTCGCGTCTCATATTTCTGTGTCCCAACCAAGTGTTAAACGCTTGGTATCCGGTAACCCTCAAACTGTCGCACAACTCCACTGAAGGTTGGCCCAGGTTGAAACGATTGGTTGGGAACCTACAAACTTGCTTGGCGGTATGCGCAGGGACGTGCCAAACCAATCATGCGATCGTGCACCTAGGTAGGTTTGGAAAACACACCTGCACGGCGACAACACGATCGCCCAAACTCCCCCACCGGCGACCAGGTTGTCGCACGAATCAAGCATTTACAACAGCTGAAAAATATGAGACTGACAGAACTCAGAAACCCAATTTCGCACTAGCACTAGGCTCAGGTTCAAGAGTAAAACTCTTTCCACTAGCAACCGCGGTTACCTCTTACACAAAAGTTAGATTCTCGTTGATCAGCATATACGGCCGACCTATAAACTTGAAATTAGGTCTTCATTTATGAGTATCAGCGGCGACCAGGGTACATCCCGTGCTTATCGTGAACCATGTCCAGGTAATGAGGCGCGCCATGTAAGGGACGCGATGGGGCAGGACGGGACAGTACGGGAAGCGACGAGACTGGACAGGACTGGACGGGAAGGGACTGGAGGGACGGGACGGGACGGCACAGGAAGGTAAGAATCTCGACGAGGGGCCGGGAGGGGACGTGACGGGAAGGCGGGATGCGACGAGACCGGACGCAAATGGAAGGGAGGGAAGAGGAGCACGCGGAAGGGGCGGGATGCGACGGTACGGGGCGGAACGGGAGGGACGGGAGGGGACGCGACGAGGGGGCGTGCATGCAGGGGGTCATGCATGAATGCAGGTCCTTGGCGTAGCAGGGTGAAGAGCACATCGTGTAATACAGCACAACACAAGAACAGCGCACAGCGAGACACTTCTAAGAAACAGGTGTACACATGATGCTCACCCCTTGCACGCGAAATTGCCTTGCTCCGGATGGAAAACCTTGCACCCGTGGGTTTTGTGCCGTGAAGTTGCACGCCATTTACAAGCACCTCGAGCAAGTGGTTGTGATTTGAACCAATAGTAACCACAGAAACCTGAGTTTGACTGAAAAGACAGAAGTCAAACAGTCAACGGCGAGTTACAATGTTTATTTATAAGCCCTTTTGCTAGGTGCGAATTGGCGAAACCGTCGCGAAGTGCAAGAATCGCTTATACGCCAAGAGAGCAAGGCAAGGTTGGGAGGCTCAACCGGGCATCGTGTGTATAGGGGTTTTGGGCTTTCACCTGAGTGAACACCTAAACGTGGCTTACTTGCCTCGGACGCACGCCGTTTTGGCGGCGGTTTTGCCTTTTGACTCGCACTTCGCTTTGGGCTTTTTGTTTGAGGCAACGGTGGCTCCTCCAACTTTGCAGCATCGCTCCTTGGAAGCCTCAGCTAAGCGCTTGCTGACGCGTGTGGGTCGGAAACCGTTTTGGTTGAGGCCCCGAAAGTCTCCCAGCAGGTTTCAGCCGTCGATGAAACTCGTGCTTTCATTACATCAACGATATGTGGACCCCGATTGCTACAATGATCGCAGCGTCATCTCATTGCCACGCTGGCCACTGGAATCGTCCCAGGGTTGGGTTCACCGTTGATTCCGGCGGCTTACGATTTCTGCGCGAGGCGGGAAATGTTGGAGGCGGAGCGGCGGATGAGGGAGGCGAGATTCGAGAGATTCTCTGTGCTGGCTGGATCAACTGTTTTCCAATTCCTGCCAGCTCCGCCGATGCGGATCCAAGACGTTGCGGCTGAGGTTGCTCCGTGCTGCCAGCGCCACCCACCCGCTCTCACCAACAACCACCACCACCCTCGTCCTCCCCTTCATGGGCTTGCAGCACCAACGGCCAGACCAAAAGAGTCACATCACACACCCCTTCAGCTGCACCTGCAGATGCAACAACAGCCACACTGGCTCTTGTCATTTTCCACCCCATCCTCGCTTCGCTCATAGCTCTATTGCCTGTCTTTCAACAATACGTCTGTATTGTCAAATCCACACAGCCCGGTTCATGCGATTCGGTGTGTTCTGGAAGATGGAAGTGATGTGACACTAAATTATTCAGCCAATCAGAGCTCGCTTCTGCTCTTGGGTGTATATCCTGTAGGGACTTGTAACGATCTTCCAGCTCCCCATCGCAGTCAGCGCATCGCCGTCCGCCCACAGACGCCATGATCGTCACGAAGCCGGTGGACGTGCCGGGCCCAGCGCGGCGGCAGGCGGGCGTGGCGCGCGGGTCTGCCGTGAGCTACGCGTCGGCGTTGCTGCACCGCTCGTCCTGCCAAACCGGAGCTGCTGCCGCGCCCAAGGCCGCCGGCCCGCACCCACCCTCACATCTCGACGCGCTTAGGCCGCAGCCACAGAAGAAGCCCGAGCAGCCAATGCCGCCGCAGCAGCAGCGGCCGCAGGCGGTACTGCAGTGGCCCTCGCTGGGCCGACAGTCGCAGGAGCCGTCGCAAGCCCAGTCAGCAGCGCAGGGGGCAGTACAGGCTGTGCGACAGGCAGAGTCGCAGGAAGGGTCGCAGGCAGTAGGCCCGCAGCCAGTTAAGAAGCAGCAAGTAAAGGCGTGGGGGCGCAACGCTCCTAGACCGGAAGCGCAGGAGAAAGCGTTGGAACCGCAGCCGCAGCCGCAGCCGCATCAGCAGAAACAGCAACAGCCGTCGCAGCGACAGCCGCAGCAGTCTCAACCAAAGCCTAAACCCGAGGCACAGCCATCGCAGCGAGGCGTCGAGCAGGCGAACGACCACGAGTTCGACTTCGACGACGTCTTCGGCCCGTCGCCCGCATCTTCCGGGCGGCTGTCGTCTTCCAGCAGCTTCGACTCGTCGCACGACGCGTCGTCCGGTCGCCTGGCGACGGCGAGCGGTCGCAATCTTCGCACGGTGGCGGAGATGGACGAGGACGACCTGGCGAGCTGGATGGCCGACGAGCAGCTCGCGGATCGCGCGGCGGGCATGGCGGGCGAGGAGCCGCCGGAGGTGATCACGCACCGCTCGCACTCGCTTGTGGGACCCGCGCCCATCACGCCGCGGCAGAGCGTCGCGCGATCCAGCAGCCGCCGCTCGTCGCTGGACGAACCGGACAGTGCGCGACCGTCGCTGATGGGAACATCGCCGTGCGTGCGATCGATGGAGTCGCCGAGGAAGGCCGTCGCACGTGTGATGTTGGATGCTGGGATGGCGGCCGATGGGAGAGAGGGGGCAGCCGCAGCAGCGGCCGAGGCAGGAGCAGGATCGGAGGGCGGTAGGGACAGTGATGCGAGGGGCGCGATGGAGGCGAGGGAGGAGGGGGGAGCGGCGGAGAAGGCGGACAAGGTGGGGCCGGAAGACTTCGAGCTGCTGCGAGTGGTGGGGCAGGGCGCCTTCGGCAAGGTCTTCCAGGTGCGGCGAGGCAAGGTCTTCCAGGTGCCATCACGCGCGATTGCGCTCTTGAGGCAACTGTCTTCCCCCCCGTGGTCCCCGCTCCTACCCTCGTCCTCCACCTACGTCCTTTTCCCCGATGTAGTTTGGCACGCCGCAAGGCGGCGCTCGCGTCACGTTCCTCGCACAACCCTTGACAACCCTCCCGTAAACCCTTGGCCGACGGACGCGTGCAGGTGCAGCACCGGTGGACGGGCGAGATATTCGCGATGAAGGTGATGAAGAAGCAGCGCATCCTGGAGCGCAACCAGCGCGACTACATGCAGGCGGAGCGCGACATCCTCACCAAGGTCGTGCACCCCTTCGTCGTGCAGCTGCAGTACTCCTTCCAGGTCCGCCCCGCCTCTCCCTCCCCTCTCCCCCCAGGTTCGCCCTCCCCCTTCCGGGTACGCCTCGCCCTCCCCTCACATGCCGTCCGTGGTGCGCACACCCCCGCCGCCGTCGCCGCCTCCTTGCCACGGCATGCCCGTCCCTCTCTTATCTCGCTCGCCATACCCCTCTACTCCAAACCCCTCATAACTTGCTGTGTGAGCCGGCCAGGCGTTGCCGGTGTGCGTGACTTCATCCCCCCCCCATCTTCCGCGCCCTCTGCCCCACTGCGTCCCCCTCAACCACCCGTCGGCAGACGAGCGCAAAGCTGTATCTGATTCTCGACTTCATCAACGGCGGTCACCTCTTCTTCCAGCTCTACCGCCACGGCACCTTCAGGTACCGCCACGTCACCTTCAGGTACCGCCACGTCACCTTCAGGTACCGCCACGTCACCTTCAGGTACCGCCACGTCACCTTCAGGTACCGCCACGGCACCTTCAGGTACCGCCACTAAGTTAGCCTTTTACTGGCTGCTTGAACGTGCCATCAGAATTACAGCCTTACCAAGCCCCACATGCATCCCCTCCACTTCCCAGCTCCCCCTTATCACTCCCCTTTCCCACGCGTCCCTGGACCCCCTCCCCCTTTCTCTCCCACCCCCCCCATGTGCCATGCGAGGCAGTGAGGACTTGGCGCGCATCTACACGGCGGAGCTGGTGCTGGCCGTGGGGCACCTGCACGCACGGGGCATCATGCACCGTGACCTCAAGCCCGAGAACATCCTGCTCGACTCCGATGGCCATGTCAGTACTGTCGCTCGCTACAAGCACGTTGATGAGCCATGCAAGAACGTTGATGAGCCATGCAAGCACGTTGATGAGCCATGCAAGCACGTTGATGAGCCATGCAAGCACGTTGATGAGCCATGCAAGAACGTTGATGAGCCATGCAAGCACGTTGATGAGCCATGCAAGCACGTTGATGAGCCATGCAAGCACGTTGATGAGCCATGCAAGCACGTTGATGAGCCATGCAAGCACGTTGATGAGCCATGCAAGCACGTTGATGAGCCATGCAAGCACGTTGATGAGCCATGCAAGCACGTTGATGAGCCATGCAAGCACGTTGATGAGCCATGCAAGCACAGGGAGGGGGCGCGGGCATGGGAGAGTGCCCCTTGTGTTGTCCCCTTTAGTTTTCTGCTTGGCTCCCAAGCACCTCACAAGGCATGCCGGCGCACCACCCATGTGATTCGCCTGTACGCCTGCCACAACTTACCTCGCCCCTCCTTGCTCCTCTCGCTCCCTTTGTTGATCTTGGCATTCTTCTTATCCCACCCCTTGCCTGCCACACTCCCCCTCGCCCCCTCCCCCCCACTTGTCCCTCCGCTGGTTGGGACGGGCAGATTAAGCTGACGGACTTTGGGCTGGCGAAGGAGGTGAGGGAGAGCGATGCGCGGAGCAACTCGCTGTGCGGCACCATGGAGTACATGGCGCCCGAGATCATCCAGGCGCACGGCCATGGCTTCCCCGCCGACTGGTGGAGCATCGGCGTGCTGCTCTTCGAAATGCTCACCGGGCAGGTGAGATGCTGGTGGGATGGTGTGTATGATTGGTCGTGCATGGCCATGCCGCATGGTACATGGCATGGCATATCATACCCCTTGGCCGCTCCCACTTTCTCCTTCCCACCACTGGTTCTCTGCAGACCACTCACTGCCCTCCCTCCTCCTCTCTCCAATCCGCCTTGCCACACTCCAGCACTCTCATTGCCTTTCCCATCCTCTCTCCATGCGCCCGCCCCCACAATCTCCTACCCTGAGTATTCAATCTCTCCTATGCATTGGCGCTCTCGCCCCGTGCACCCCTCAGCCACCGTTTTCAGGCGGCAACAGGCAGAAGCTGCAGCAGCGCATCGTGAAGGAGAAGGTGAAGCTGCCACAGTACCTCACCAGCGAAGCTCACTCGCTGCTCCGCGGGGTGAGTAGAGGCCTTGCTCCATTGCTCTGAAATGCGAGGAGGGGTGGGACGAGGGGTTTCGAATGAGAGGAGGTTGGGATGAAAGGGTTACTGCTAAAAGGGAGGGATGGAGAGGGCAGGTGGGAAGAAGTTAGGGGTGTGAGGTGGTAGGCTAGATAGCAAGGCTCCTCGCACTTTGCCTCGCTTTTTACACTCTGTACAAACACTCTGTCGTGCGTTCTGTGTGATGTCAGGAAGTACCCCCCTCGACCCATCTCAACTCCCTCCCTCACCTCACCCTCCCTACCCCTGCAGCTGCTCCAGAAGGACCCTGCGAAGCGGCTGGGCAGCGGGGCGCGGGGGGTGGAGGAGATCCGCGGGCACAAGTGGTTCCGCGGGGTGCACTGGGGGCGCCTGGAGGCGCGCGAGGTGGTGCCGCTGTTCCGCCCCACGGTGATGGGCGGCAAGCGGTGCACGGCCAACTTTGACGAGATGTGGACGCAGATGCCCGTGCACGACTCGCCCGCCGGCACGCCCACCATGCACGGCGCCGATGCCCTCTTCCGCAACTACACCTTCACCGCCGCGCCGCCCGCCCTTTCCACCGTTGACAGCGACAGCGATGGCGAGGTGGGCAGCGGCGAGTCGGAGGAGAGCGAGGAGGGAGAGGAGGAGGGGGAGGGATGCGAGGGGGAGGAGCAAGTGGTGGAGAGGCAGTGAATGATGCAAGTGCGGTGTGAGGAACATTCAGTAAGCAGGTGACCCTCACAGGTGCATGCTTCGTCCAGAGAGCTTGAGCCACGTGTGCTGGGCAGCACTTGCACACCCAGAGGCCACAGGGGTGTGCATTGTTCTCTCCAATGCGCACACCTGGAATCACAGCACCTCTGCTCCCCCATCTCGCCCTACAGCTGCACCCTGTCAGCCCCCCAAAGTGGTTGCAGTGTGCAGTTGCTTTTTGTAGAGGAATGCTACAAACATTTCAAATCTTAGAATACCACAAGTATGGTAGTTGCTACCTTGATTATTTGGAGAAGGTGGTTGTAGGGTTATTTCAGGGCTTCGTTGGAATATGCAAATTGTAACAAACAAGGGGCCTTCATTGTCATGTAAAGAAAATTCATTCTCCCTCCTTCGCATCCTTGCTTAGCGCGTGCATGATTGTTCCCGCTGTTATGAGTTGTACTAAACAGAGTACGTGGAAGACTTCTATAAAGAGAATGTGATTACAGAATGCTGAAACAATGAAGAAAGCGAGCATTTATAGGGCGAAAACTAGCTAGGCGAGAACCTCTACCTAGGTGTGCGTGGCTCGGGAATGTCGCAATTGGTGCGGGGCGACTCGGAATTGGCTCGGTGCGAAAGTGTAGGCCGAGCCATCCTGACGCGAAGTGCTCGGGCTGTCCTCGCTAGGAGCAGCCTCTACAGTAATGAATTGCATATTCATTACACCCGCCATAGTACGGTACCCCAACAGTAATACCGTATGGCCCCGGATATAAGCGCATGCCTATTAAAGGCGCATGCGCTTGTATCTGGAGCAATGCGCTTATGGCCGATCCTCAATTATAAGCGCACCCCCTGTAAAACATTGATTTATTATAAGCGCATGTACAATTTTTATTTTAAATCATGATTAAAACGGTAACGATTCCCTATTTTGCAGCGAGTCCACCCACATCCATTTCTACCGTACTTCGGTTGACTCTCTTGAGCACGGGCGATTCGATCAGGAAAGGCGGAACCTTGCGAAGCCGTTGACTGACAGCCCTTTCGGGGCGAAGGGGGTGTCAGAACATATAGCTTCTGCATATTGTATAGGCTATAGTGGGGTAGCCCATAAGGGGTACCGTATGGCCCCGGATATAGGCGCCGGCCTATTACAGGCGCCGGCGCTTCTATCTGGAGCATGGCGCTTATGGCCGATCCTCGATTATAAGCGCCACCCCTTTTGTACCCTTCCTTATTATAAGCGCCACCTTCAATATTAACACTTTTTTTACCACCACAACAAAAGAAAACAACAACTATAACATCGTTCGCTTCAACGAATACTACAAGTTATACACAATTTTAGACTTAATCTGCTACGGTATTCTACCTAGGTTCACAATTTTAGACTTAATCTGCTATTCTACCGGAACTACCTACTCCTCGTCAGACTCGGGCTCCTGGCAGTTGTTGCCGAAAAATCCGTCGGCGATGATGCCGTTGTCTACATCCACTTCCGCCGTCAGTTGGCTCCGCCTGTGCGCCATGGCGAGGTGGTCCTCACTGCCGTCAAGTGCGTTGCTAATGCCGCAGGTGAGGAAGGCGCGCTTGACGAGGTCGGAGGGTACTGCTTTCCAGGCTTGTGAAATCCATCGAAGGACCACTTCTGGGGGGGGCTTCTTCAGATTCCCTGCACCGCAACAGAGACACCCGGGAAAGCGATGTTAGTGACCAAGGGTGAAAGGGGGATAAACGTGCGTGTTTAACGGAAACAACGTACCTGCAGGTGTCAGTTGCTCTTGGCCCTCCTCCTGAAACCACTTCTGGTACTGCTGACGAACAGATGCTTTGAAGCTCTAGTTGATGGAGACGTCGAGTGGCTGAACCTCACCCGTACAACCCGACGGGATGACAGCAGGCACGCAGTTGATCTCGCGGAGCTTCTCCTTCACCCCCTCGGTAAGGTGGCCGCGGTAGGAATCCAGCACGAGCATAGAGCTCTTCGCACACCTGCCAAATCGGGGCTGCAAGAAGGGCTTGACACACTCGTCAAGCCAGCGGATGACGCCTTCTACGTTCATCCACCCGTTCTCGTGGCAAGCCACGACCACATCTGCACACAAAAATGGCACTTAAACTGTTAGCGCGGCATGAGAAACGTGTCGGTAAGACAGCGGCAGTTGCTACTTATTACCAGGAGGAAAGTTGCCCTTCGGCAGCGTCTTCCGCTTGAAAAAGACCCACGGCTTGAGCTTCGCCCCGTCCGCCGTACACGCCAGCATCACGGTCACACGCTCCTTCTGGTAACCTGCACTCCGGATGGGCACCGACCGTACGCCCGTCTGATCCACGATCGTGGTGGCGGGCATCTCCAGCCAGAGCGGCGTCTGGTCAGCGTTGAGAATCCAGCATGGCTCGATGCCGCGCGCGCGACGCATGTGTCGGACAAAACGCCAGAATTTCTGGCACTGCTCCGCAAGATCTGTGAGACGGGGGAAAGCGGGCGGGATAGACGGCAGTTTAGTAAGTGAATTTGAAACTTAGACATAAAAGCAAGGGGCGTAATCTTATGAGCGGCTGTTTTCTGAGCAACCCGCGTCTTCATGCGGACGCTCAGATTCCACCGCTTCCGAAACCGCTCCGACCATCTCTGACTCCCGCTCCACTTGACGTCCGGGTAGAGAATCTTCATGAACTCCCTCGACCACTCCCGCAGACGGCCGACCGACACGGCGGTTCCTTTGCGGCGCCAGTCTAGGAGCCGCTCGTACACCTTCAACTCCATGGGGCGGTACCACGAGGCCCGCCCGCGACCGTGCATGCGCTTCCGCCCGGAGTGTGCTTCTTTGAGAAACCCCGCTGCCACCTTCCGGTTGGCGAGACACTTCCGGTGAATCCCACACTCCCGAGCTAGTGCGCGCACCGACTTCGCCACATCCAGCATCGCGACGTACTTCATCTTCTCCGCAGCGGTGTAGCCTTTGCGCTTGTGATCGCTGATCTTGTGCCTGGGAGAGGGGGGGCGGGCATCACGGTTCTGGGTAGACGGGTGGGGTCGCTTGCGGTTAGCTGGTGGAAAGGAAGGTATCGGCAGTTCCTCGGGGAGCCCGTCACGTGACCAGTACTCGACACCGTCGTCGTCGTCGCCACCAGGTACGCCCTTAGGAAACACATCCTCAGCGGTGCCGCCCTACGCGCCACCTTCCTCAGCCTCGTCGCCGTCATCACGGCTCGCTTCCTCGTCGCCGTCAGCACGGCTCGCTTCCTCGTCCTCAGCCACGTCGTCGTCAGCTCCGAGTGCAGATTCGTCCCACGTGGTGCAATCATTGGGCCGGCCCCAACGTGGTCCAGGGTAAGGTGCGCCGGGTACCTCAACATCTTGGGCCTTGTTGCTTTCCGGTTCCTCCAGCCACTCGTCGAACGCAGTCGGGAGCAGCGTGAGCACGGGCGGATCCCCTGTGTTGTGAGGACATCCCAGAATCGGAGGAGACGGAGGAACAGGAGGAGCAGGAGGCGCAGGCGGCAAAGGAGGAGCAGGAGGAGCAGGCGGCGCAGGAGGCGATGGAGGCTGTGGTGGCTCTGGTGGTTCAGGTGGGACAGGGGAGTACCATCCGTCGGCGTCGACTACGAAGGCGGGCCTACGCGCGGGCTTCTTTTTGAACAAGAAATGAGTGCCAGCGAATTCCGCCATGGCTTCCGCAGCATGGCGGGCGAGACCAAGAATATGAATGACAAAAGTGAAAGAGAAGGCGAAGAAATGAGGGTTTGGAGGGGACCCCTTCTGGTGTGCGGCTCGAGTTCCTCTTCAGGCATAGTCAGATCCCCCCCTGCCTAAACCCGCAGAGGATGGAATCGCGACACGTATCTGCTGCGCTGGCAGGAATATGCCACCCCCTTCTCGAAAGTTCGGGTGAAATGTGGCACCCTAGCAGCGCATGTAAACCCTATTGGGCCGCACGCCAGGATGCACGTCATCGCTGGCAGGTGCGTTGCTCCAGGACAGGTTCTGTGCGGTGGGAAATCGAGTCGCGGCAGTTTTCGCCGGAATTTCATGCACGATCCCATGCGCAACGTTCACAGTTGTGTTCGCCTTATTGTGGGCTTCAATTTAATACTTCGAAAACCAAAATTGGAATTTGACATTTTATAAGCGCCGGCGCTTATGGCCGTTCCTCAATTACAAGCGCCACCCCTAAAAAATCATTACTTATTATAAGCGCATATGCGCTTATATCCGGGGCCAAACGGTACAACCCAATTACGGTTAGTACTTGTACCCAGTTCATTCATAGTTCATTCATTCTCGTTTCTTCTCATGGTATCGAGCAGGTTCCCTCGTGGGAACTGATCCTAGGGCCCACCATCGAATTTTTTTTTTCTGCCCGAAGTGCGCTCCACCTAGGCCCGAGTCGCGCCTCGGGTGCTCTCTCTGCCGTCGCGGCCTCTCTCGAGCCGCCCTTACTCGGCCCGTCGCTGCACTACGCGGCCCGTCGCCGCCCTTTCCTCGGCCCGTAGCCGCCCTTAAGCGGCTCGTCGCCGCCCTTCCTCGGACCGTCGCCGCCCTAAGCGGCCCGCCTCCACCCTTCTTCGGCCCGACGCCGCCCTACGGCCCGTCGCCACCCCTCGTCGGCCCGTTGCCGCCCTTACGGCCCGTCGCCGCCCTAAGCGGATAGTCGCCGCCCCTTCCTCGGCGCGTCACCGCCCTAAGCGGCCCGCCGCTGCCCTTCTTCGGCCCGACGCCGCCCTACGGCCCGTCGCCGCCCTTCGTCGGCCCGTCGCCGCCCTTACGCGGCTCGTCGCCACCCTAAGCGGCCCGTCGCCGCCCTACTCGGCCCGTCGCCGCCCTACTCGGCCCGTCACCGCCCTACGCGGCCCATCGCCGCCCTACGCGGCCCGTCGCCGCCCTACTTGGCCCGTCGCCGCCCTACTCGGCCCGTCCCCGCCCTACGCGGCCCATCGCCGCCCTACGCGGCCCGTCGCCGCCCTCACTCGGCCCGTGGCTGCCCGAC